TGTTGTTGTTGTTGTTGTTGTTGTTGTTGTTGTTGTTGTTGTTGTTGTTGTTGTTGTTGTTGTTGTTGTTGCTGTTGCCGTTGTTGCTGTTGCTGTTGTTGTTGCTGTTGCTGCTGCTGCTGCTGTTGCTGTTGTTGCTGTGATCGTTGTAGTAAACTCTCGTTAACTTGCCGAACTTCTTCAACCTCCCATGCATGCGCCTCCTGTCCATACGCGCTCGAGTTTCTTAACTCTGCATTGCTGTTCAAGTCCTGGCCTCTCTCTACGACGCCACTCATCCTCCACGCATCACTTCCCGTACTCTCTGACCCACCGTCTTCGCCAATAACTTCAGTTTGATTTAGCGAGTCATGCAATGGATCTCCAATTACGAACCCAAGATCGTTTGCTGGCGATATTAATGCCGCTATGCTAAGATTTCTTGAGGCCGAGGCTTGTTGGGGTGGCCGAGAAAGTTGGTTATTAATATGAGGATGATTGTCAATGTGCTCGTGATGTTGTATTTGATTTCGTTGCTGTGCTTGTTGAGATATTTGCCTGCGTTGCCTGTTTTGCTCTTCCTGATTAACTCCCCCACTTTCTTCCTCTCGATCAATGTTCATCGCAGCGGATGCTGATTGATCTAACTGATCGTTTTCGGAAAGAATTTGAACACCGAGGAAACTCAATTGCATTTGCATGTCAACATCGATTGTTATTGGTGGCAAATGTTGAGCAGACGGGATAGATGTCGACGGAGGGAGAGGGGAAGGAGAAGGAAGGGGCGAAGTGTTGGAAGTAAAGTGCTGATGGAGTGAAGAAAGTTGTGGGGAAATGATTGGAGTGAGATTGCCGGTGGTAGCATTCGCGGATGAAGAAGGCGTGAGAACAGTGTTATCGATAATGGACGCAGGGATAGTTGATGAAGAAGAAGAGGACTGTGCGCTGGCATCATCATCGTTTGTGTCATTTTCTTCAGAATTCTTGGATTCCTTCCTGCTCATGTTGACACCTTTAAAATTCTTGACTCTTATTTGCTGCCGCACCAACCTTCTCTGCAACTTTCTCCATCTATTTCGACAATGCAGTCCTGGTCTGCCAGGAAAGAACCTACTTATTTCTTGCCATTGGCCACCATGAAGTTCATATTTTTCTATTAGTAGCTTATCTTCCTCTGGAGACCATTCGCGCCGATCAATCCTCGGATCCAAGCTCTCTCTCCACCTTTTTGCGCATTGGTCGTCAGTCCTGCCTGGAATACTTTTGGCGATTTTGCTCCAACAGTTGGGGTATCGCTCGACGTTTTTACGAAGAATTTCGTCTTCTTCGGTAGTCCAAGGACCCTTACGGAGAGTTGGATCTAGCGAGTGAAACCAACGTTTACGACAGTCTTTGTTACTGCGATCGGGGATATAGCCGGCTATTTTTGCCCAACATTCAGGACGATCGCCAAAGATTGTCACGGTCAGACGAAGCATGTTGTCTTCTTCGGGAGTCCAGCGAGAGCGCGTAGTCTTTGAAGGGGAATCAGAGGAGGCTTGAGGGAGTGCAGCTTGTGATTGAAGAGACACTGGTTGGGGAGGAGGGATGCTAATTGGAGGAAGCGTGTTGCGTGTTGGCGACGCTTGCTGAATGGTAGAGTTGTTAGCATTTTGTTGGAGATTAGAGTTGTTAGCATTTTGTTGGAGATTAGAGTACAGAGACGGTTGCTGTTGGAAGAAAGAAGCCGTGCGTTGGGTTGCTGAATACTGTGGAAAAGTTTTTGGTGAGTATTGGAGGGAAATTTAGATTAAATTGAATTTGAAGTATCTGTTTTTATAACGAAATACGGCAGGATCTTTACCATGCATTCAAAATTTTAATTTATCTTAAACCAAGGGTATATCGATTCTTTAATCGTAAACTTGACACGGGAGAGACAAAAGTTGACTCTCAGCCATTTGACAGAGCAGCGGGTAAAGCAAAGTTACTCACTGAATTTTTATTTCTGGGGGTGTGAGTAAGGAATTTGAAGTATTAGACTAGCCTGTATACAATAATGTAGAAAAGTAGACAATTACAAGCCACTCAAAGAATGGCGTACCAGATCTTTAAAGTAAAGCAATTCTTACTGATTTAGAAAGCCGTGGCTATCGTAATCGCTATCATATAATTAATTCTGATTGTGCAGATCTGCTTACCCAGAAAGGGAAACATTTTAAAAGAATGAATAAGCCGTAACCTGCGATCAGTATTAACATAACATTGGCTGAAATTTTCGACCGAAAATAATTTGGGAAAGCAGAATAACAGCCAGGGTTTGCTACACAACGAGCTAATTATTAAAGTAACCATATCGTGTTTGCGTATGTGTGTATGGTTTGAATATGTGACATTATGTCATCCGATGCAATATTGTGCGATGAAACTTTGCCACCCCCGATTCCCCGCTATTTATTCTGACAGTTTTTGTTCAACTTGTTATACGGATGTATGTGATGCGCATACACAGTATATGTGTGTGAAAAGTAGAAATATTTGTAATAACTGCTGTGTCATCATATTCTTCTGTCCTGTTTTACTCTGCGCTGGTTATACAATGCCTAGATATAGAACAAACCGATGTAATAGTAACAAAAATAAACGCCACAACCCTAATTTTCAGGGGATTAAACGTACTTAATTGGTTTAGCTGATAATTCGTATACTCTTAAAAATGAAAAAAAAAAGTGTCAGACGGGTTTTTCAAATTGGTAATAGAATCAGTCCATGCCACTAGTATGAACTCAATCATCGGACTTTCTGCTGTGTGACATTCTGCTTGATAAATTTTGATGAAGTACTTACCTGGAGACATGGTAAAACCAACTATCGACCAGCTTATACGCGCGCACAAAGTAAAACCACTTTCCATTTCGAGTAATGTGATATATAATAAAGCCGTATTCTTTATAAGCAATTGCTTGCACGTGAAATACCCACATGTGGTGTATTTGCAATTCATGAACTTGTTAAGAATCACGGCTCAACAAATAAGACCTGAGTGGTCTCATTAACAATTCGCAACTTTAGAAATGAGACATGCTGCAACAAAACCAGACAAAGTGAACATTCTATAAATGAGAGGCTGGTTAGAATGTGGCTGTAAAATTGCTAGTGGTTGATTATGATGACATTTTGAAAAGTAATAATGGTTCTCATGGACTTGTTAATTTTAATGCTCACTTTATTACACCAGAAGGTGATGAATATAAACCATAACAGGATTAATATATATAGGATTATCTCTATATAAAAATATATTAAATGAAACTTATTTACATAAAATCCACTATGGAACCAAAGAATTATAGCACCATTAAAAGCATTCTAAAGAAAGCCCAAGGAGAAAAATTGCCCCTTATGTTTTTAAAATTAATGATACCCAAACACTAGATCAAGAAAAAATTACTTATGAAATTTACCAGGAAGAACGAAAAATAATAAACCCTTAACCCCAACTTATGATGAACCAAAAAGAAACGAAAACTTGATAAAACGTAAGGAAATAAATTTAACGTAAAAGCTTCCCACAAAGGCCTCTACTTTTCAAGCGACTGTCAACGAAAGATCGTTCTTTATCTTGATAAAATGCTGCTAGAGTGCATTCGTTAAGTGTTGATTCGCGTTGACACAATTGCAAGCAACCAAAGAGTCAAATATGTCAAAATAATTCAATTTTCGTAAGTATGAAATTTTATTATTTTGATTATTGAATGCGCGCTCTTGAAAATATAAACAATACTAAATGCACCAGAGTGATTGCATGGGAGAAAATACTCGGACCCAAAGCCATTTATGAGTATAACTTATTCTTTGGGTCACTCCGGTGCAAATTTTAAATTTCATTTGTGAACGAAGGGAACTGGGGAAATCGTGACCAGCCATTTCCGGATTTGTTCTTCAGTTACCGCTTCGAGCACAGCACAGAGCACTGCGGTTGTCCGCAACAGTCGGTTTTATACGACTTCATGCCAGAGAGAGAGAGACTATGTGTGTGTGTGTGTGTCTGTGTGTGTGTCTTCTTTTATGTTATTAATAATATTATCGCTATTATCTATTTCTTCATCTGAGTAATTTCCGTTTTCCTTCTTTTCTTCGTCGATCCAACGTTGGATTGCTTCGATCGTCTTTATCCACGGAGTTGTTCGTCGAAGGTAAAAATTTCTTATTGATGATGCAGCGATGGTCTTTTGTTTATTCAGCAATTTGGAAATTAAAACGCCATTTCGTTAAACGAAAATTTTGAATCTAATTTGATTCGTCTATCGTATAATTGTTTCAAAGCGTTCCCCACACAACATTTCGATAAATTTTGTTCGCCGATGGTTTCGTTTTTGACAACTTTCTGGACTTTATGATCTTGGTTAATAGTCCCATGTTGT